GGAGGCTAATGCCTCCTAAGGCAGCATTTAACATCCAGCTGCCTGCAATTACTGTAAGTTCGAATCTCACCAGGCTCAAGGTTGACTCAGCCTTCCATCCTTTCTAAGGTGGGTAAAATGAGGACCCGGTTTGTGGGGGCAATAAGCTGACTTTGTATAAAATATACAAAAGGATGAAGGCTATTGCTTAACGCATTGTAAGCCTCCCTGAGTCTTAATTAATTAATTAATTAATTAATTAATTTAATAAATTAATATTTATTAAAAAAATATTAATAATCACAGAAAATGGGGGGGAAAAATCACCCTGGAAAATGACAGGAACTGGCCCTGCAGCCAATGGATGACTGGGGGCAACCTCTGAAATTGAATGTCTATGGAGATTCTCATTCTGGTCAGGGTTTTTTGTTTTTTTCAAGAGGCAACTGGACTTTCGGGGGCTTTTCTTCGAAGATGTTTCGCTTCTCATCCAAGAAGCTGCCACCAACAGCCTCCCACCGACCAGTTCGCTCCCACAGAGAGGGACTCCTCAGGGTACCGTCGGCCAAGTTATGCCGGCTGGCGACACCCAGGAGGAGAGCCTTCTCTGTCGGAGCTCCTGCCCTTTGGAATGAATTGCCCCCGGACATTCGTAACATCTCTGACCTCTGGGTCTTCCGCTGTGCCCTCAAGACCCCACTGTTCCGACAGGCGGGGCTGTCCAACTGAATGATTTTAAATTGAATTTTAATTTAAAATTCGGCCAAAACTATTTAATGATTTTAATTAATTTTAACCATGATATCTGTATATTTATGTTTTAATTCTGGCTGTACACCGCCCTGAGTCCTTCGGGAGAAGGGCAGTATATAAAACTATTATTATTATTATTATTATTATTATTATTATTATTATTATTATTATTATTATTTTAATCTTTAGTGAGATTCACAGCCTTTGAGGCTGGTTAATAGCTCAGCAGCTGGAGTCCTAACCAAGGACCTAGGAACTGTTAAGGTATCGTCGGAGGATGTAAGCTGTTCCGAGTAAGGTGGTTTTTTGTAGAGTCAAAAATGTTCAAGTCCGGCAAATCTAGAATTTCTAATAGCGGGGTAGCCCTTTGGGTATTGTTCCAAGGGCTCCGATTACAATCGGGACAACACACGATTTCTTTTTGCACAGTCGCTCAACTTCAATTTGCAAATCCCCGGTACTTTGTGATTTTTTCTTGCTGCTTATCTTCAATCCGTGCATCACCAGGTATTGCAATGTCAATGAACCATACCTTTTTCTTTTCAACTATTGGTATGTCAGGTGTGTTGTGGACCAAGTGCCTGTCAGTCTGAATCCTAAAGTCCCACAAGATCTTGAGTTTCTCATTCTCTAAAATTATTATTATTATTATTATTATTATATTATATTATTATTATTAATTATTATTATTATTATTAAGCTTCTTCAACTCTGACTGGATAGTGGGGAACAGAAGGATTTATTTCCTCCTTGCAGAAAAAGCTGGTCATTTGCATCCTTTTTAGAGGGTCGTTGAGGCCATTTGGAGATTTATCTGTGTCCTCTGGGTCACCTGAAGTGGTGCAAATGATTCCTGTAGCCTGCAATTTTTTTCCTCTGGAAATCCATTCTCACTCCCACACCCTTCCAAGGCTGTCCATCTCAAATTGTACAGCTAAAAGTCTGTAGCGATTCTCAGTCATCCAGCTTATGGTTCCATTCCTCACCTCCCAGTCAGAGCTGAAGAAGCTTCTTGGATGAGAAGTGAAAGGTCTTCAAAGAAAAACCAGAAAATCCAGTTGCCTCTTGAAAGAAAAAAAAAAGCACTTTTTTATAGATCCCGCTGTTTTGAGGATAGTCTTCCTCTCCTCCCACCAGTTATGGGGAGCTCAATTGGAGCGATCGTGCAATGCAGTGTTTCTTAAGCTTGGCGCCTTGAAAGACGGGTGGACTTCAACTCCCAGAATTCCCCAGCCAGCATGGCTGGCTGGGGAATTCTGGGAATTGAAGTCCACCCACCTTCAAGTAAGTATAAACCTTGTTCATGGGAACTTCTGAACGCAGGGCAGCTGGTTGGTTTAGGATCCAAGTTGTGTGGGAATGGAGGCTGGGAATACCATACCAATCACCTGCCAGGAGGTAGCAAAGCAGGCCTTGAATTTTTCCCATTCTTACCCTTCAGTGAAATGGAAGAGCAGGCCGTTTCTTGTTCGAGAGGAGTGGGTGGTTATTTGGCTGCCAGATCTCCCCCTTGCAAGCCAAGATTCCTTCCCGTGGGATCCGCAGCCAACTAGCTACGAGATTCCTTTCTCGGTACACCAGGCAACCTTCAGGTGCAGAAGGGAAGGGAGAGAGGCCTGGCCTTGCTGGGATCCTTAACAGGATAACAGAGCGGGAAGGGACCTTGGAGATCTTCTAGTCCAACCCCCCTCTCAAGCAAGAGATTCTATATACCATTTCAGACAAATGGCTGCCCAATCTCTTCTTAAAAGCCTCCAGTGTTGGAGCACCCACAACTTCTTGTGGCAAGCGGTTCCACTGGTTAATTGTCCTCACTGTCAGGAAATTTCTCCTTAGTTCTAGGTTGCTTCTCTCCTTGATTAGTTTCCACCCGTTGCTTCTTGTCCTGCCTTCTGGCGCTTTGGAGAATAGCTTGACTCCCTCTTCTTTGGGGCAGCCCCTGAGATATTGCTGTCATGCCACCCCTAGTCCTTCTTTTCACTAGACAGGACCTACCCAGTTCCTGCAACCGTTCTTCGTATGTTTTAGCTTCCAGCCCTCTGATTATCTTTGTTGCTCTTCTCCAGGCTCTTTCTAGAATCTCAACACTTTTTTTTTTAATATCGTGGCAACTTTTGGTGAGTCACAGACCCGTGGCAGAGACTCGACGAGGCCTGCAAAAACTTGGCGCCACTGGAGCTTACACCAAGCAAAGGAGAACTGTGGGAGTTTTCCCACCCCTTCAGGGGAGAGCGTGCTCTGGGTCAGGGGGCTCAGAAAGGAGCGCTTGGGAGGGTCTTGGCTGCTGCTCCATTGCTGTTCCCAGAGGGATGTGGTGGAGAACGAAACGTGGCCTTTTCTCTCCTCCGCAGCATCTGATGAGATCCAACTCGCTTTTGAGCCCGTGTGTTCTTTCCTCTTCCCTTCTTTTTTCCTTCTTTCCTTCCTTCTCCTCCCTCCCCCTCTCCTTTTTTTCTTTTCTTTCCTTCCTCTCTCCCTTCCTCTTCCCTTTTCTTTTCCTTCCTTCCTTCCTTCCCTCCCTTTTCTTTCTTTCCTTCCTTCTTCTTCCTTTTTCTTCACCTTCATTTATTTCCAGATGTTGTCCTCTCTACTTGGAAAGAATAAAAACCGCGGCAGAAAATTACACAGGCTTTGTTCTGAGATATTCTTTGACCGTTTGGAGAAGACAGGTGACCTTATTGTGTTGCACACCTGAACAATCCCAGGGCAATTATAGGGCCTCCCTGGACACCTTCCTCCCTGGTGCAAAGTCTTCCCAGGTGGTTGCTGGAAAGGTGCCTTTGTCCTGCAAACCTGACCATCCCCATTGATGTTGCAGAGTTGACCATCTCCTACCTGGTCTCTTTCCAGATGCCACAGACTACATCTCCCAGAATTCCAAGCTGTTGCCTAGGCCCACCAGGCAGGCTCTCCAACCTTGGGAACTTGAAGCTGGCTGCGGAATTCTGGGAGTTGAAGTCCACCAGGCTTAAAGTTGCCAAGGTTGGAGACCCCTGGTCTAAAACATTTGCAGGACAGAATTCTGGGGTACGCTGTTTCTCCTTCCTCCCCCAAAACTCGGGGGGGGGTGTTTGTTCCTCGCTATCGGGGCAGCATGCGCAGTCTTCGCATGGGCAGAGGCATTTCTCCTTGCAATTGCTGTTGAGAACCCAGCCCCCCCCAATGCATGGGGTCAGACCAAGGAGAACGCCTCTAGAATTTAGCGGGGTGCAGAGCTCCCCGAAACGGAGTCTTTTGTGCAGCCAGGAGAGGACTCAGGCGGGAACAAAGGCTGTCTTTCTGGGGCCTTTGATGGCCCAGATGGTGACATTTTACGGCCTCTGTTTCTACAAGCCTTCAAAGGACACAGATGCCCTATAAAACCAGGGAGGGAGGAGGGGGAGGCCCTGCCATTTGCAAAGGCCTGGGGGGCTTTGTTGGCCATTTGCCCAGCCCCCCTATAAATCCATCTGCACCCCTAATGGCTCCCTCCCCAGAGAAGGCTGCTGCTATTCAGCCTTTCTTTGCATTGGGGTGGGAGGGGGAGTCTGGAGCCTTCTGTCCCCCCCCCCCCCCCCCCCCGCACCAAGGGAGATTTCCAAGCAGGCTGCTGAGATAATTCCTTTTCTGCTTCATGGCTGATACCCTGGCAAGAGAGGTTCAGGGCAGAATTAAATACTTCGAAAACAGAATAGAATAGAATAGAATAGAATAGAATAGAATAGAATAGAATAGAATAGAATAGAATAGAATAGAATAGAATAGAATAGAATAGAATAGAATTTTTTATTGGCCAAGTGTGATTGGCCACACAAGGAATTTGTCTTTGGTGCATATGCTCTCAGTGTACATAAAAGAGTAGGAAGGGACCTTGGAGGTCTTCTAGTCCAACCCCCTGCTTCAGCAGGAGACCCTAAACCATTTCAGACGAATGGTTGTCCAATCTCTTCTTTAAAACCTCCAGTGTTGGAGCAGCCCCAACATCTGGAGGGAAGCTGTTCCACTATCGGGAAATTTCTCCTTAGTTCCAGGGTACTTCTCTCCTGGATTAGTTTCCATCTGTTGCTTCTCGACCTGCCCTCAGGTGCTTTCCAGAACAGCTTGACTCCTCTCCTCTTTGGGGAAGCCCCCTCAACTATTGGAAGGCTGCTATCATGTCACCCCTAGTCTTTCTTTTCATTAAACTAGACATACCCAGTTCCAGCAACTGTTGTTTCTATGTTTAACCTCTAGCTGCTAATTCTCTTTGTTGCTCTTCTCTGCACTCTTTCCAGAGTCTCAACATCTTATGTCTATCATAGCGACCAAAACTGGATGTTGTATTCCAAATGTGGTCTCACCAAGGCATTATAAATTGTTCCTAAATGAAATGAAATGAAATTATAAATCATTACTAAATGAAACAAAGAAAAAAAAAACACTGCAAAGGGAAATTGATCCTTGGGTTTTTTATTCGATCCTCTCAACAACCCAGACAGGTAGGCCAGGGCAGAATTAGGATTTGCTAATTTCTTTCTTTCTTTCTTTCAAGTGATGCCAGGGACATATCCACAGCACTCAATGGGTTTCTTTCCAGAGGGATTCTGTTTTTGGAGGGAGAAGAGAGCTCAGCAACAAGACCAGAAATGAGGAGGTAGAAAAAGGTGGCTTTTGTGTTAAAAAGGAAAAAAAAAATGAATTAAAGGTTGACCTATTGAAGTAAAATTGTGACTTATGACCACAATTGAGTCCAAAATTTCTGTTGCTAAGCAAGACAGTGGCTAAGTGAGTTTTGTCCCATTTTCCGAATTTTCTTGCCACGGTGTCTAAGTGAATCGCTGCAGTCGTTAAGTTAGTAAGATGGTTGTTAAGTGAATCTGGCTTCCCCATTGACTAGTTGTCAAAAGGTCACAGAAGCTGATCGCATGACCTCGGGACACCGCAACCGTCATAAATATGAGTCAGTTGCCAAGCATCTGAATTTTGATCACGGGGATGCTGCCACCGTCGTAAGTGTGGAAAATGGTCATAAGTCACTTTTTTCACTACTGTTGTAACTCTGAACAACGGTCACTAAACGAATGGAGGACTACCTGTCCCGCAAAGGGCTTTTCCCGATTCTTGTATTCTATGATCCAGGTGGTGCTCCGTGCTGCCATCTGGTGGGAGCTTCATGCTAACAAAACCTCATATTGCTCTATTATATTTTTGCGGTTGAGAGTTCTGGATTATCGGTGCATTTCATGTTCCCTGCAGTTTGTTGCTGGGGAAACTGATGATCTCCCACATTCAAGATTCAGCAATCATCTCGCGCCTTGTGGGAATGTTTCCGCCACACTGCAGCTGCATTTGCACAATGGTTACTGAATTATTGAAGCTTTCCACAAGTGCACCTTTTCTAGTAAGGGCTGAACGAGGCAGTGGGTTGGACTGGAAGCCCTCCGGATTCTATTCCAGCAGCCCCCCAACCTTTTGGGCGCCAGGAACCAGTTCCGGGGAGAAAGATACTTCCACAGACCTGGGTGGGGGCGGTTTTGTGTGCTGCCTGCATCCTGGGGCTTTGCTTGTTTGTGCGGCCTGGTTGCTGACATGCTGCAGCCTGGTGCCAGTCCATAATCTGGAGGTTGGGGAACCCTGTTCTGTTCTGTTCCGTCCTGTCCCATCACCTATTCTATTCTCTTCTGTTCTGTTCTACTCATTTACTCTACTCTATAATTTGTTCTATTCTATTCTATTCTATTCTATTCCATATTTTCTATTCCATTCCATTCCATTCCATTCCATTCCATTCCATTCCATTCCATTCCATTCCATTCCATTCTATTCTATTCTATTCTATTCTATTCTATTCTATCGTGTTTCCCTGAAAATAAGACCCTGTCTTATATTTTTTTGAACCCTGAAATAAGCGTTTGGCCTTATTGCCATGCACTCAAAAGCCTGATTGGGCTTATTATCAGGGGATGTCTTATTTTTTGGGAAACAGGGTATTCTATTCTATTCTATTCTATTCTATTCTATTCTATTCTATTCTATTCTATTCTATTCTATTCTATTCCATTCTATTCCATTCCATTCCATTCCATTCCATTCCATTCCATTCCATTCCATTCCATTCTCTGCAGCTTCTCTGTTTTAGTTGAACTATATAGCTTGTTATATAGCTTGGGTGAAAAATAGCCCTCTACTAATACAACTTTCAATGCCTGTAATTTGAATATTTTAAAAATAGTTAACTTTTAAAACAGCAACCGGTGTCATGATGACTCATAATCCATCATCCTGTGTCAAAACACAAGTTGGGGGTGGTGTTTCAGCCTTGCTGGCTTCGTCTAACGAAATCTGAAAACTTTCAAGGATGCCTCCCTCTCTATTAATATTATTATACAGGTAGTCCTTGACTGACAACAATTAGCATAGTGATCGTTTGAACAGCCCTGAAAAAAAGTGACTTTTTTCACACTTAACGATCGTTGTAGCATCTCCACGGTCACCTGATTTACATTCAGATGCTTGACAACTGGCTCACATTTATGACGGTTGCAGGGCCCCTGGGGTCAAGTGTCTCCCTTTTGCGACCTTCCGACAAGCCAAGTCAATGGCAAAACCAGTTTAAGAGCCGCAGTGATGCAGCGGACTAAAGTGCTGTTATGTAGCCCTTAGCTGCCAGCTGCCTGCAATTAGTGCGAGTTCGAATCTCACCAGGCTCAAGGTTGACTCAGCCTTCCATCCTTCCGAGGTAGGTAAAATGAGGACCCAGATTGTGGGGGCAATAAGCTGACTTTGTAGAAACACCGCTTGGGGGGGGCAAAAGCCCTAATAAGCAGGTATATACAAAAGTATGAAGGCTATTGCTACAAGTGCATTGTAAGCCGCCCTGAGTCTTCGGAATAGGGCGGCATATAAATTGAACTAATAAATAAATAAATAAGTTTCACTTAACAACCATGTTACTAATTTAAAAACTGCTGAGATTCACTTAACAAGTGTGGCAAAGAAAAGTCTTAAAATGGGACAAAACTCACTTAACAAGTTTCTTACTTAGCAACATAAATTTTAGGCTCAATTGTGGTCAGAAGTTGAGGACTACTTGTAGTATATTATAATATGGTATTAGAGCAAACTCCAAAAGGCACTGGCCTGACTCTAGGAGAGATGCCTCAGTCAGACCACAATGATTAGGGAAATTTGGCTGACAACAAAAGGGATGTTTGATTCGAATCCTCCCAGCTCCAGGCTGACTTTGGGGGCTGTGTTTGATCAACACACTTAACCACATCAGGAAAAGACTTAAGGAGGCATTTTCACACAACATGCTTATCTCTCTTTGGTGGTTGCGGTAGCTTAGTGTGCCGTGCAAACCCAGCCTCTTAAAATAATGTAAGGTTCTCGATCTCATGCAAATCTTGGAAATGGGTTAATGCAGTTGCTGGGTTTTGTGAATGCAACCATCAGTTTCTGGGTTCAATGCCGGGCTTGTTGTTTTCTGCTGCTCTTGTGGTGCTGTCATCCTGCGGTTGCCACACTCCACCTAGCAACGGCTGCTTTACAAAGAGTTGGAGAGAAGCAGCCTCTGTGTACAAAACAGCAGCTCCTCTTTCCCCTGGAGACCAGGAGAGCCTTTCACAGGAGCAAAGCTTCAAGCGATCTGGCAAGCATCCAGACAGTTGCCAAGCTCACACCTTCCCTCTGGCTGCCAGAAGCTGGGGAGATGGCTGTGCTGTCTGTGAATCAAGAGCACCATCTGCTGGCCTCTCTCGAAATAACACCACAACTCAGGTTTTCTCCGCTCCTCTCAGTAAGGCAACCATCACTGGAGTCAGTTCACACAACATCTTTAAGAGGGGATGATAAAGGCCTAGTTAGATGCCATGTATGGTGTCGATCCAGAAAAGAGGTTAATTCAGGAACTGGGATAAGAATGATGGACGAATATACTAACCATAGTTCGTTGTCTGAGCTGAACCATGAAGAGAGGCAGGGAAAGACGTCTTCCTACCAGGATGGCTCAAATAATGGCTTGAGAGAACTCGTATTAGCAGTTGCATTTCCTCAGGAAGTTCATCTTGGTTAGTGATGACCTCGGTTATGGTTTCTGTTGTTGGCCATGCATATGAACCAGCGCTCTCTTGGTAATTTGATGAACGTAGAAAATGGTTGAATTCGAATAAAACAGATTCAGGGTATTGAAGAAAGTGGCCCAGAAGTTAAAAGCAAAACAAAATTCAAACGAAAAATAAGAACAAGATTATGTTTAAAAAAAAAAAAACTTTAAAAAAAGACGAAGGGAGCTTTTCCCAGCCTGGCTCACCATGGCTGACTTTTTCAAGCTAACCGGAGACATCCAAGAAATCCTTGACTTACAACTATTCGTTTAGTGACTAAAGTTACAATGGTACTGAAAAAAGTGACTTAATGATTGTTACAACCATTGTAGCATCCCTACAGTCACATGATCAAAATTTGGATGCTTGGCAACGAGCATGTGTTTATGATGGTTTGCAGTGTCCCGGATTCACATGATCACATTTTGGGACTTCCTGATAAGCAAAGTCAGATTTTTTTTTTTGCTTTAATTTATATGCCGCCCTTCTCCGGAGACTCAGGGCGGCTTACAATGTGTTAAGCAACAGCCTTCATACTTTTGTATATTTATACAAAGTCAGCTTATTGCCCCCACAAACTGGGTCCTCATTTTACCTACCTTAGAAAGGATGGAAGGCTGAGTTGACCTTGAGCCTGGTGAGATTCGAACTTGCAGTAATTGCAGGCAGTTGATGTTAATAACAGTGCAGATTAATTTAACAACTGTGTTACTAACTTAACAACTGCAGTGATTCACTTAACAACTGTGGCAAGAAAGGTCTCAAAATGGGACAAAGCTCACTTAACTATCTTGCTTAACAACGGAAGTTTTGGACCCAATTGTGGTCAGAATTTGAGGACTAACTGTAATTGGATGGGAGACCACTAGGAAACTCTAGGACTGAGTAGCAGAATCACCTCTTGGAAAAGAGAGTTTGCAGCTAGGCTTGCTTACCCAGTTAACCACAAGTTAAGCTCCCTTAACTCTTTACTTCCAGGTAAACCTGCTATCCTCCAGAGAGGCTGGGAGTCACATAATTCCAAACCAGCATAGCTGAGATGGCTGTGGATTATGGAATGCACCAGAGCTTGGGAGCACCAACTTCTATAGTTTTTGCCACATCCAAATTGGATCCTGGCAATGAAAAAGATTGACCACGAATAAGTAGAAGTTCCTGGAGTTGCAATTAAGGATCATGGATGACCAGAAATAGCCTCAGATGCTAGGTAACTTTCAAGAAAACTGTACAGGTAGTCCTCGACTTATGACCACAATTGAGCCCCAAATTTCTCTTTTTGAGACATTTGTTAAGTGAGTTTTGCCCCATTTTACTACCTTTCTTGCCCTAGTTAAGTGAATCATTGCAGTTGTTCAGTTAGTAACATGGTTGTTAAGTGAATCTGGCTTCCCCATTGACATTGCTTGACAGAAGGTCCCAAGAGTTGATGATCCCGGGACACTGCAACCGTCATAAATATGAACCAGTTGCCAAGCGTCTGAATTTGGATCATGTGACCATGGGGATGCTGCAACGCTCAAGTGTGAAAACAGTCCTAAGTCACTTTTTTTGAAGTGCCGTTGTAACTTTGAACTGTCACTAAATGAACTGCTGTTAAGTCGAGGACTACCTGTATTATTTGCCTGGATCAGGATTTCTCAACTTGAACGACTTTTAAGATAGATAGACTTCAACTCCCAGAATTCCCCAGCTGCCATGAGCATTGCTGAGAATTCTGGGAGTTTGAAGTCCACCTATCTGGAAGAAGTTCCCAGCTTTCAAAGGGGTTTTATTTCTTAATACAATCATTATAATAAATCTTATTTTATTATAATAAAATATATATTTTATTTTAGTGGAATAATTATTATAGATAATAACGACCAGAGATTAATTATCTTCAAAGGGAAGAAGGGATCTAATACTTCTGAAGGACCCTGAAAACTTTGTGGTTGTAAACCAGAGTTTCTCAACCCTAACTCAAAATTGTGTGGACTTCAACTCCCAGAATTCCCTAGCCGGCATGACCATTGCTGAGAATTCTGGGAGATGAAGTCCATCTATCCGGAGGAAGTTCCCAGCTTTCAAAGGGGTTTTATTTCTTAATACAATCATTATAATAAATCTTATTTATATATTTAAGGAGAACTCAGCCATTCCATCAATAAGGATTAATACCTTGATGGTTTACAACTGTTGTTTGTTAACCCTGGCTAACTCAAAATGTGTGGACTTCAACTCCCAGAATTCCCCAGCCAGCATAGCTGGCTGGGGAATTCTGGGAATTGAAGTCCACAGAGTTTCAAGTGACAACTGTTGTAAACCATCAATTTATTAATACTTATTGATGGAATTGCTTTGTTTTCCTTAAATATATAAAATAATATAAAATAATTTATTATAATGATTGTATTAAGAAATAAATCCCCTTTGAAAGTTGGGAAGTTTTCCTTCTCCAGAGACCCCCAACGGCACGCGGACCCTCACGGGGAGCAACCCTGAGGCGAAGCCGTTTGCCGCCATTTGCCAAATTGTTGCAACCGTTTGCGCGCGCGCGCCGGTTTGCCTTCCCCCAACGGTTTCCCGGCGCGGCTTCCTCTGCGCCAGGGACTTTACTTATGAATCCAGCCCGGGGGAATTAAAAAACAACAACGCTGAAAAAGCTAAGCCCCGCGGTACAAAGGCGCTGAGGGGGGGGGGGGCGTCCTTTAATGGCGGCTGCCTTTGAAATTCTGCCCATCTTCCCTTTTTCCCCTTCCCGGGGCCTCTCTCTGAGGGGAATTGCCTCCCCTTGTGGGATTGGCTGGAAGGTTTGGCAGGACAGCCATTGGGGGGGCGCATGACGTCACCAAGAGAGGCTCCCATTGGTCCGAGCCGGCAGATTTCACCCAGCAACAGCTGTGCATACCCGCCTCGTTTTCCCGCCTGAACTAACGAGCAGAAATGGCGCCTCAGGCGGGCGCTGGAGCGGCCGTGTGGCCGAGGCGGAGTCGTCCCTGGTGGGTTTCGTTGTCCGCTGCCGGAGCCGTTCGCTCGAGGCAGCAGCTGAAATGGGAGGGGGAAAAAAAAAGAGAGAGGGAGACAGAGCCTCTCCGGCGGCCCGGGGATGCGCACGTGCCTTCTTGGAGTTGGCGTGTTGGCCGCTTCACACGACGCGGTAAAACGAGGCCTGTGGCCGAATCTGGCTCCTCGGGGTCGGTTCAGAAGCCCTTCGTCAGGGTGGCCCGCACTATTTATTTATATTTATATATATATTATCTATCTATCTATCTATCTATAATACATATAATACATATATATGCACCGACAAATTCCTTATGTGTCCAATCACACTTGGCCAATAAAAAATTCCTATTCTATTTCTATATTCTATTCTATTCTATTTATTCTATTCTACCCTTTATTTATTTATTAGTTCCAGTTATATGCCGCCCTTCTCCAGAGACTCAGGGCGGCTTACAATGCGTTAAGCAACAGCCTTCATACTTTTGTATATACCTGCTTAGTAGGGCTTTCAGGCCCCCCTAAACGGTGTTCTTTTTTATACAAAGTCAGTTTATTGCCCGCATAATCTGGGTCCTCATTTTACCTACCTCGGAAGGATGGAAGGCTGAGTCAACCTTGAGCCTGGTGAGATTCGAACTCGCAGTAATTGCAGGCAGCTGGCAGCTAAGTGCTACTTTAACAGCAGTTTAGTCCACTGCGCCACCAAGATCCTATCCTATCCTATCCTATCCAACATTCAAACCAATGTGAAGACACAGAATTTCCTCACAATGTATGGAGATTTCTGCCCAAGTCCAATATCCAGAGACTGTACATCTGGAAAGAGAGAAAGGTGGGGTGTCAAAAGTTAATGTCCTGGATGAAACCCAGAACATCCATGAGATCACTTTGATGGCACCCAAAGATGAGCTGTGGAGAGAATGCTTGAGGCACAAGCAGACAAAGAGGAAGATCAAGCAAAGGAACTGCCATGGCAAGACAAGATGGTGCATGGGATGTACCATTGACAGATGGCTGACATTGGAAAATTATACCAGTGAAAGGGAAGGGCGGGACTAAAGAGCACTGAGGCACTGATTGTAGCAGCACCAAAAAAGGCACTTAGCCCCAAATCCATAGATGCAGGGGTCTACTGTGTTAGGCAGGGTGTAAGATGTAGGCAGAAACAGCATACACTGAGCTCCACAACCAAGTACGGGGCATTTTGTATAAGAATATGTGTACTAGATCCTCTGAAGTTCAGATGGCAGATTCCACAGAATTACGGAGACCACTAATTATGGAGGCTTAAGATCCCATGGGACTTCCAAATCCAGAAGGTCATGTAGGTACTGGCTAATCAACCAGACATGGTAATTGACGAGAACCAGATGACAACGGTGGCCATGGATACAGCAGAGCCAAGTGACAGCAGCAGCATGAAGTATGAGAACCTGGAAAATTACCAAGGTCTGAAGGAAGAACTAGAGCGGATGTTGAAATAAAGGCCAAAATGGTCCCAATGGAAGTAGGGAGCATTTGGAGCCGTGGCTCCTAAGCTGGGAAAGTGGCTCCAACAGATCCCAGGAACAACATTACAGCTTTCTCTCCAGAAAAATACAGGACTAGGAAAAACTAAGATACTATGCAGAATCCTCAAACTCCTAGGTCTCAACTCCTTTCCTGCTGCACCACCCTGTCTATCTCTTGAGCTCCAATTATTGGAAAAACAGAAATGTGTAAAGTTGAGAAGACTAAAAAGATAGTGATTAAAAAGATAAGAGTGTCTAAGGGGATCAAAACAGTCCTACAGTTATGACAAACTATAATATATAGTAATAAGGAAGTATTAATACATAAAATATAAAGTAAAGAAAAGCCATTTTTATAAAAGATTATTAAAAAATGAAAAAAGTCAGCATGGTGGCTACTCCTGTGTGGTTGAAGTCTTGCCCTTTATGACAGGCATAATGTGATTGCAACCACTACATGGACTTCGACACCCATCTCCTTGAAGATGCCCAGCACAATTGGTTTTGTTGGGCAGTCTAGTATTTAACACAATAGGTGATACCAAGTTCTAATATGCTTGATTTATTTGGACAACACCTGTATGAACACAACACCTGTATGAACAGGTGTTGTGGGTCTCCAGATCAAGATAACCATATCCGGTGAAACTGACTAATGAAAGCGTAATTAGGGTGGCTTCAGGTTTTCTTGGAGGTGAAAAGGAATCTTCTCTGGGTATTTTTGTGGAAGTGGCTTTTTTGCTTCATTCCTGGAATGGATGGGTAGCCCCCTGCCACTAGCTGCAGCTTGGCTGAGCAGTAGAGTCTCAGAAATTTTGCCTGGTGTCCCTGGAACGGGATGTAACAGGGCCTGCATCACTTGGTCAGCCAGGGGTGGAGATGGATAACTGATGAGGGTGAATGAAGGTTCTCCAAGCTTGTGGGTTGGTTTCTGAACATTTTGTTACCAGGCTAGGTAACATCTTCAGTGGAATTTAGGAGATGTCAGTGTTGTCCTATTACACTTTCAAAATGTTCGAAAACCAACCCACAAGCTTGGAGAATGAACCTTCACCCTCATCCTACACGTGAGCTACAGATAAATATTTGCCACTAATGCATAACTGGGTGGGAGGGAAACACTCCTCTGGGACATATCCCTTGCATGACTCTTCATCGTAAGTCTGGGAAGGAAGTCCAGGACCGTGAGACTACACAATGCTTTCCTGGAAGGAGAACTGATGAAAGCAAGGCACAAGGACTTCATGATCTCTAAATCTATAAATTTCTGAAAAGCATGTGGCCATCTCTCTTTGTGTACCCGCTCTGAGAAGACCACAGTGTGAGATATTAAGATCTAGATAAAATTTATTTATTCAGTAGTCTTACATGTGGCCCATCCTGCTAGACGGTCTAAATGGCCTTTTATAAGAGGAGTTGCAGGATCTATTTAGAATCCATATCTATAATGGGGGTGGGGATGGGAGGAAACTGTTCCTATTAACTAATTGCCCTCCATCCTCTCTTCCTTACAGGGTTCTCCAGAGATCCATAACAGGAAAAGAAAAGCACACCAAAGAGAGATGGTAATGTGAACATATCCTTCTTTTCAAAGAATGCCCCAATAAGCCATAGAAATTATTCATTTTGTCCCATTTTACCCATTATCTCAACTCTTCCTAGGTCCCATGGCTTGCTTCATACAGCGCACCCTGGTTCATGAACGAAACCATTGAAACATAAAAGTAATGAACCAGCAAGGATTTTCATGCGGTTAATGCTACAAATGATTGATTTGTAGCAAACAGGGACAAGGCCTTTCTGGTGCTCCTAGTTGTGGCATTGATGCCTAAGAGTTCCCCTTAGGAATTCTAGAACAGGTGTTTTTAGACTTTTTCAGGCTGCAGAAGTGTTAAAAAAAAAATAAAAATTCCTGGAAGCCTGAATTAGAGGCAGAGCTCAAGTGCTAGAAAATTGGCTGTGCTTGAGTGAATTTAGCGGTTTTTCTCTTAGTTTCTCATGGAATCCATCAAGTTCTCATCAAATACAATTTAAAAACTCCAGTTGTAGGGCACAATCAGGTGGGCAATTGACCTTCTCGTCCCAGCCCTTCTAGAGGGTGCTAGATTGGAAAAAGCCGATTGGAGAATGAGCAATTGTCTTCCTTGTGAATTTCTGCAATCTATTTGAAGATAATTGAAATCACTGTTTAAAAGTAAAGGGAGTTCTTCTGAATTGCAATGCAGCTGCTGACATCTAGTGGCCAATCATGTTTTTTAAAAATTATAAACCATTAATGGATATAAACTGCTTCCCAGAATTACCCTGCCAGCAAGTTTGCACTCTAACTCTTAAAATTCCCCAGCCAGTCTGTTGGCTAGAGAATTCTGGCAGTTGGTTCTCGCATCTTAAAGTTGCCAAGGTTGAGAAATATTTCAGTAAAGGACAATTAAAGCAACATTCAAACAGCATCTCCTACGATTTGTGCAAGTCATTTTTCAGGGTGAACACTGTAAAAGGCAGATTGAACACATGAAAGAAATCAGGGAAAACTGATTGCAAGGATATTTAACTTTTTCCCTTTATGCCATTTCTTTGCTCCAAATCACCCTCAGGCAGCTAGTCAGCCATCCAACTTTAAAGCATGTAGCAAAGCTGGGAGATGGCTCCATCCAAGCACAATCAATTTATACAAATTGGAAATATCCACAGATTACTCCATGTCTTTTGAGGGCATGATCGGTGGCCCCTGAAATATGGGATCCTGGTGTCCTCAGCATTACAAACCTGAACTATGCATCTTAACTCACCTGTATTTTTAAAATAGTCCCCTCTAATAATTTAAACAATGCAGTTAAAAACCGAACAGTGGTAGATGCAAGCATTTCATATTGACTCGTCAGTACCAAACTTAAATAAAACAGTTAAAAGCAACATAGAACATAGAGTCTAGTGAGAGTGTTAATTAAACATGTGACATATGCGGAAACCAGCCCATGATAAACCTTACCCCCACAGAAGGCCTAGATTGACGTACAATTGTTTCTGCACACATAAAGAGGCTTCAATCGATTGATGGCAACTGCTTCGGCAAAACATAGAAAATGAGAGTTCCTGTGGCGCAGCAAAACTTTGAACACAGTATTTGAATTGGCTTGGTGATCCATAGCTAGTATGTGTCTCGTGATAGCAGAAGAAGGCATTTTGTGGCCATGATTTGCTGTTGGATTGCTCAGTACTGTCTGAACCCATTTTGAAAAGTGCTTCTTCATTCTGAAAGCCAGGCAACTATCAGTTCTGCTGATGTCTCTGCAATTACAAACAAATTGGTAAATACAATGGGCTTTGGCGCTGATAAGTTGTGCTTCCTTGATTGATGGTAGCAGGGTTTGATGCAGTACGTAAAATCCGGCCATACTGAACATTGTTTCAATTAAGGTGTTTAAACATCGGGTCGTCAGGGGCTGATCCTCCTTAAACAACAGCTCAATACATACTTCCTTTTTACTGGCAGTTGAAACTATTGGTTTTGGGTCTCTTGTTTTGCTGTGCCTGTTGATGAAGCGGCTCACCTGTATTTGTCATCCTCCTGAGAGAACCATCCCATGGAACCATCCCACTGAGGCCACTTAAAGTGATGCCCCCTGTGAGAAAACAAGGCTCTACATGCAAATCTTTTAAGTCAGAGTAGTAAATTCCTGGTTCCCGGAAGGGAAGGGATAGAAATGGGAATGGGAATGGCATGGCATGGCATGGCATAGCATAGCATAGGAATTTTTATTGGCCAAGTGTGATTGGACACAAAGAATTTGCCTTGGTGCATACGCTCTCGGAGTACATAAAAGAAAAGATACATTCGTCAAGAATCATAAGGTACAACCCTTAATGATAGCCATAGGGTACAAATAAGCAATCGAATCATATTAGGAAACTATATAAATCTTAAGGATACCAGCAACAAGGTTACAGTCATACAGTCATAAGTGGGAGGAGATGGGTGATAGGAACGATGAAAAGATGAATAGTGCAGACTTAGTTAGGGAAAAACTCTTCTTGTGTCTAGAGCTGGTGTGCAGTACTCTATAGCGTCATCTTGAGGGCAGGAGTTGAAACAGTTTATGTCCAGGATGTGAGAAGTCTGTAAATATGGTTATGAAAATGGTTATGACAATCCTTTGGAGAATAATTTCCCAGTTTCCTGGTTACCCAGAAACCAGGTTCAGTTTCAGTGGCTAGAGTTTCCTCTAGATCCTTTAGTTTTTCTTCTAGTAATTCATTTAGTTTACATTTGGTACATACAGTAAAACTTCTGAAAGTTGACTACCCAAGGGAGTGAAGGAAAGTGGTCAACATACAGAACAACTGTACCGATATGTTTAGTGTAATTGAAAATAACCCCATGAGTGGTTGCCTCTCATCTAAAGATCCCTCAGATTAGAAGGCACAATTCACTGAATTCAATATTCTTCTTTTCCTTTGGTGAATGCCACTTGAAGATTGGAAAAGCTGAAATTGCTGTGGGAAATAACTTGGGGAAACCATATTCCAAGCTACTGTTGGAATAGTCCCACTTGAGGGAGCCAGAGTATCACCAATCATTTTCATTTGCCTATTAGTGGCAGCAAATAAAACAATCCTATATCACCCCTAAAAATAATGCACACAGGAGGGTAAGCTTTCGCAAACCTATGGATGGTGTTCACAAGACATGGCAAACATCTCAGTTGAAGAGATGATTCTAAACTGGGTTACACTTATCCATTGTATGGGATGCCTGCCCACATATGTTCAGAACTAGGGCATAATGTGAACTTGTTTGACTTCGTTTGAATTCTTTGGGCTAAAGTTGAAAATGAAGGGCTGACGGGATAGCTGAAAAACTAGCAGGAAATAAGACCAACTACAGTAGACCCTGACTGAGTCGGTGAGATCCTGTTCAGATTAATGTGCCAGATTCTGGCAGGGTTATTATTTTATTTCGTGTCCAGATCAAACTTTAAACTGCCAAAATGAGGCCACCTTTTTGGCTTTATACCAGAAACAATCACTGTAGGTGTATTCTACTGGTAGTAATCGACAGATCAACAGATGGTCAGACTCTTTGTCTCCCACATTCACATAGTGTGTTGTTATTTGCCAGCAACGCCCCATTTGAGCCTATTGGGTTTAAGCACTTCCTTCCTCAAACTACTGCACCCTTTGGGACAGGGCTGCAGAAGAGACGAGCGTGCACATGCACCCCCACTCGCATGAGCAGCATGTGCGCTCCATTTGCACAAGTGATGGGAATGCTGCTTACGTAAGGACATGACATCATTTAACTCACCATGGGCTGAGACATACAGCTCAGTATCATCAGCATATTGGTGATACCTCAGTCCATGGTGAGGGATGATCTCACCCAGCGGCTTCATATAAATGTTGAACAAGAGTGGAGAGAGTACCGAGCCCTGCGGAACCCTGCAAAACAGGGGCAAGGGCTGGATCTCTCCCCTCCTATCAACACTGACAGAGTGGCCGCAGAGGAAGGAAGTGAACCGGGATAGCACAAGGCCTCCCACTCCCATCCCCCGAAGCCACCCCAGGAGAATACCATGGTCGATGGTATCGAAAGCTGCCGAGAGGTCAAGTAGAACAAGGATGGATGCACTACCCCCATCCCGCTCCCGCCAGAGATCATCCAAAAGTGCGACAAATGCCATTTCTGTCCCAAATCCAGGCCTGAATCCTGACTGGTAGGGGTCAAGATAATCCATTCCATCCAAAAAATTAATTTAATTTAATTAATTCAATTTATATGCTGCCCCTCTCCGAAGACTCAGGGCAGCATATAAAAATCTCTGGAGCTGCTGCGCAACCACCTTCTCAACCACCTTTCCCAAAAAGGGAAGATTGGAGACAGGTTGGAAATTATCCAACCGGGTGGAGTCCAGCGATGGCTTCTTAAGAAGAGGGCGGTCCTGTAGGGAAGCATTAATCACCACCAGAGTCTACCCGCCTGTCACCTCCTGGGAAGCTTTCACAACCCAGGAGGGACCTGGATCTAAAACAGGTGGTTGCACACATACTCCCTAGGATCCTGTCCACTTCCTCGGGAGCAACAGGGTCAAACTGTTCCCAGATAACGGCAAGAACCTGCCTCAGGGGCTTCCACCGGACCAGCAACCATGCTGGCATCTAACTAGGAACGAAGTTGAGTGATTTTGTCTTCCAGAAAATCTGCAAAGGATTTTCCTTCCCCAGGAGGAGGCGGCTTACCTTAAAAAGAGTCGCTCGGCGATTATCTGCAGACGCAATTAGTGTGGAGAAGTATTTGCACTTTGCTGTATGAATCGCCACGAGGTAGGCCTTAGTAGCAGCTCGTACCCGTGTTTAGTCAAGTTCATCCCGTCTTCCACCAGCTGCACTCTAGACATCTCATGCGTTTCATCCCTCTCAGTTCCTCTGTATACCATGGGACACAGAGAGGTCTATTGGTGAGGAGAGGTTGCATGGGTGCAATCCATCTTCCTCTCCATCTCTTTCTCCCCCCCTTTCTCTCCTTCATCTCTCTTCCTCTCCATCTCTTTCTCCTGTCCTGCCCGGG